ATCACATTATGTTACCCAACTGTTGAAATTCTCTTCACTATCCTTTGTACAATCAATATTAACATATTAGGAAAAGAACAAAGATGTTTAAAGTTGAGTTAAACTCTCTATACAAATGTAATTTTTTAATATAAATGTGATTTTTAGTTCCCATAAAGCAAGAATTTTTCCAGGAGCCCTGGCTTGGAGAGGCTCCCAGGGTTTTAATAAATGGGTTCGTATTCATATTGGGCCTGCATCAGGGAAAATTCCTTCTGAAATTTGTAGTAGGACATTCCTACTATGGAGTTACTGCTTATAGGGTAAGAGTTGGGGGCTTCAGAGTCAAGCAAATATATAGATTCTATGCAGAAAAACTGAGTGATAGCTTGGGCAAGTTACTTCAAACTCGGTTAGTTTCTTTGTTTCTTCTCTTTTTTTGCAGTTTTATAACTTTATTTGGAATCAGCAGTTCGTTCTCATCCACATTAACTGTCTGTAGATTTTTTTTTTTTTTTTTGTAGATTTTTGAAAGTGGTGACAGGTACACAGGTAACCTGAGTTTGTCTGGTGAATCTTCACTGTCATTGCATTTTCTGGACAACCGCATACCAATATGGGATGAGACATTCCTTATTCTTTTGGCCCTGAGAGCTTTGTTGCATCTGGTATCAATGCACACATCAGAAGTTCCCATTTCCCTCATGGCAAATTTCTGGGTCTCTTTGAATACTCAAGGGGCACACCTCTTGACACTCACTGCATGGATGCACTTGTGAACAGTGATGGTGTATTCTCCGGTCACCTTGTTGGTGGCAGAACGGCCCTTCGTCTTGCCACTCTTCTTTATGGGAGTTGCAAAGCTCAGCTTAGTTTCTTAATTGCAAATGAAGTTAATACGGTTGTGTGGAAGATTAGATAAGATATTATATGGTAAGCACTTAGCTCAGAGCTGATACCTACTGAACCTAATAAATACCTGTTATGGTAGAAATAGTGATTGCCCAGGACATCCCACATCGATGTGATATAAGCATCTTTTTCACTAGTGCTTTGGTAAAGATTTCTGGCCTAATTTTCCCATTAACAAATTTTTCTTTAATTATATTGTTGTGAATGCATTCTGATGTTCTCTTACGGTACTGACATGGAAACTAGTTTCATTGACTTATTTTATCTTCTTACTGATTGTTTTCCAAAATGTATAAGCAGTGGCTGTTTTCACTGCTAGATTCATACAGAATTGTGCTTTGTCTCCATTTGGATTTTTTTCTTTGTTCCTTTTCATTCAAGCCCAGATAAAACTGCATTTTTAATCATGCCCACATATGTGTAGAGTCTCATCTGACTAGCTCCATCATGTGTCTATAATGAGTTTTACAATTTTAAAAGTTGTTTTCATTTCATTGCTACTATGAGCTCAAATAACGAAGAATATAGGGTAATATATCGATATTGATGAGTCCTCTCAAAAATAGGTATAAATAAAAAAATCGGGAAAGCTTTATAAAGCGAGAATTTTGGCGGGGGGGGCCTGCAATTTGGCCAAAAGTCTAAGGTGACCATAATCGATCATGCAAATTATCAGGCCGTTTTGGGAATGCAAGAGGGGTTCTATTAATAATTTCACTGAGATAAAGGCATAAACCAGGACTCTCCCACGTAAACCACAGCATAAAACTGACAATTTATCTTCCTAAGATGGGGAAGGAGCAGGGCAGGGCTTGAAGGGATTTTTTGTGAAATGATAGGCTCTATCACACGCTTATACTCTATATTCTATGTCCAAAGTGTGAATTATGGGTTCTGCTTTGAGAATCCAAGCTCTGCCCTTACAGTATCAGACTCAGTTCTAATCCCTATACCCCAAGAAAAACACAAAGACAAAGATCCAGGAAGGTATAACTAACGTAATGAAGAGCTGTGGGTCTTAATAATGTTTTGGCAATTAACGGCATCTCTGAGAATTTGATAAAAGCTATTAACTCTCCCTGTAGGAAAGGGCACACACAGAAGCCCCCACGACTTGGCATATAATTCAGACGGCCTCAATCTGTCTGATCCTCCCCAGGGACCTAGGTCTGAATCCCTGACCTAGAACATATGGCAGGTGGCAGGAGAAAGGAACCACTATTTGTTGGCCATCTTTACAGATATTTCATTTCATACGCACATCAATGTATTTTACAGATAAAGGAACTGAAGCACAGAAAAATTACAAACTCACAGCTAGTTAAGTGAAAAAGCCAGACTTCAAATTCACCTTTATGTGCCACTAAATCTTATAATCTAAGTACTGCTTAGACACGCAATTTTTTTTTTTTAAGTTGGTTCCACGCCCAGCATGGAGCCCAACGCAGGGCTTGAACTCATGACCCTGAGATCAAGACCCGAGCTGAGATCAAGACTCGGATGGTTAACTGACTATGTTACCCAGGCACTCCACCATACAAATTAATATATATATATATATTTATATTTCAATCTGGAAAAGAATCATATTACAAAATCACGAAAAATGAACACAAGCATAGATCTTCATCAGAGTTCCACCTATTGGAATTACCTCTTAAAACTAGAAAGAGATTATTAGGGCAGTTAGGGATGCCTGGGTGGCTCAGTCGGTTAAGCATTGGACTCTTGATCTCAGGTCAGGTGTTGATCTCAGGGTTGTGAGTTCAAGCTCTGTGTTGGGCTCCAAGCTGGGTGTGGAGCCTACTTAAAAAAAAAAAAAAAAGCATTTAAAAAAACCCCTCAAATGTTAATAAAAACAACATTTAGTGTCAAGATAGTTTTAGATCAATCCAAGATTGATAAATTGTTGTTGGATTATTGAAAGATTTTTCAGTGTCTCATTGTATCCCTGGTTTACCAGGGAAAACCACCAAATCTTTGCCTGTCTCCCTCTAAGCCCATGTCAATCCAACTACTAATCAGGGTTGACTGTGGATGGGATGGTGGCTTAGGTAACATGTCATTTCCAACATAAGCAGTGCTTCTTATATAACTGGTAAACTCCAATATTCCTTTTGGTAACCTCTGTTCATTAGTTCCTAAGATACCTGATCATATTTGGGCATGCCCCTGAAACGTGGAATCAGTTTCCCTGGGAATTTGGTGGGTCCTGTCTGTTTGTACCTCCCCAGTGCCTAGTACAGAGTGAGTGCTCGGCAGATGTCTCCTGTTTCCTGTCCAGTTCATGCTACAGATTGCTGCCAGATGAATTCTCTAACCTAAACTGTAGCTCCCAGTACAGCAGTTCCTTGCACAAAACCCCTGTCACTTCTCATTATATTTGTACCTTTCCTATAGTTATTTATTGTTTTTTAAAATTATCTTCTGGGGCGCCTGGGCAGCTCAATCGGTTAAGCATCTGCCTTCAGGTCGGGTCATGGTCTCAGGGTCCTGGGATCGAGTCCCGTGTCGGGCTCTCTGCTCAGTGGCGAGTCTGCTTCCCCATCTCTCTCGCTTTCGTGCTCTCTCAAATAAATAAATAAAATCTTAAAAAGAAATTATCTTCTGTCTTGCTCCTTCTAAAATTGTAAGCTTGGTGAGGCAAGAAACCATTGTACTCACAGCTGCTGTGCTGACCTATAGTAGGCGTTCAATTATATCTATTGCCTGACTGTGTGGATGATTACGAGAAGAATTTAGTCAACGTGATTGTGTCTTTCAATTTTTAAAATGGAGGTACAATTTACATACCCTTCTAAAATGTATAAGTCAGTGGCTTTCAGTATATTCACAAAGTTGTACAGCCATCAACACTATCTAATTCCAGAATATTTTCATCACCCCAATAAGAAAACGCATACTCATTAGTAATTACTCCCATCCTCCTCTCCTCCCAGGCCCCGGCAATCACTAATTTACTTTCCCCTATAGATTTCCCTATTCTTTACTCTTATGTAAATGGAATCATATAATATATGTGGTCTTTGTGCCTGGCTTCTTTCATTTAACATAATGTGTCCAAGGTCTGTCCATGTTGTGGTCCACGTGAGCACTTCTTTCCTTTTTAAAGGCTGAATAGTATTCCATTTTGTTTACCCATTCCAAGCAAGATGATTTTTAACATGCATACCAACTCTAGGAGCCTACATCAAGTGAAGGTCTACCACCAAAGTTCATAAAGTAAATCACAATAAATCATTATGCTTCATACTTTCTCTAGGCCGGAAGTTTTCAACTCTTACCTACCATAGATCCTGGGAGGACGGTCCTGTTGTAACCCACCAAGGTTACCTTCTGAACTCTTTTTTTTTTTTAAAGTTTTTATTTATTTATTTGACAGAGAGAGACACAGTGAGAGAGGGAACACAAGCAGGGGGAGTAGAAGAGGGAGAAGCAGGTTTCCTGCAGAGTAGGGAGCCCGATGCGGGGCTCGATCCCAGGACCCCGGGATCATGACCCGAGCCGAAGGCAGACGCTCAACGACTGAGCCACCCAGGCGCCCCAACCTTCTGAACTCTTAAAACAATAAAACCAGACTCTCTACCTTATTTCAGGATTATTCCCCCACCTCCAATCTCCTCACTGCCCACCCGATGTCTGAAAACTCCACATTCTGGAATAACTCACCTTTGCAGTTACGGTTGTACTGCTAATTATTCGAAACAGATAGGGTTGACTAAGGTTGGATGGTGCTTCTCCGCCCCGCCCCCCCCTTATCTTTCCTCTGTCCCTCTGCTCACTGCACTGCAACTTCTCCACCATTCAAAAGTCCAAAAGAGAGACAGAGGGGAAAAAAAAAAAAAAAAGCCTTCCTTTGTTTTCTAAGGAAGTTCAGGTAAAAGGAGGGGTAGGGGAAATGATATTTTTGACTTTTCTCACAATCCAGACGTTGGAAAGAAAAAGGATTTCCTTTGGGCGGCTGCCACGACTCTGATCTTTTATGCTGATAAAATATTTCCTTCTTAAAAAAAAAAGTTATGGGAAAACCAAACCACTTCAGCTTGGAAGCCACACCTACTGTAATTTTCGCGTTAAAAAAAAAAAGAGAGAGAGAGAGAGAGGCTTACCTCTCTTTCACGGAGGGTTTTGCTCCTAACTGTTGAGGTCTTGCACCCGGGAGCGAGCCGGGTCAGCAGCGCTCTTTGGAAGCTAGCGTGGAGGACTACAGGATCCAGAGGTCTTTGGAAACTCCAGCAGCCCCAAGCTTGTTGGCTACCACGGTTTCCCTGAGGAGTGACGCTGTGAAAACAAACCCTGATTGGTCAGGCCTGAGCTGAATTCTCCATTTATGGACAGATTGCCCAGCCCGAGCCGAGGCTCTGCCGGAGGAGTACAGAGTAAGTGGCCGAAGAAAGAAGGAGCGAGCTTGGGCAGCTAGGCAGACGCGCCGAGAGCATCGGACTCACCTAGGCGGGCGGCGAGCGCCTGGTCCGAGGGGACCCCTGCCTTCGGCAGCATGTGCCCCGCCTGCTAAGTCGCCTCCTTCTCGCCCTCACCTAGTGTCGCCGATCCCGCCTGGATGGAGTCCCTCCAGGGTTCCCATTGGCTCCTGTGAGTGCTTGGGTGTCGAGAGCCTGTTTTTGGCGAAGGGGACCAACTTTTGAAGTTCGCCCAGGAGCCTGCGTTCCAGCCCCAGCTCCCCGGCAGCCGGACCCGGCAGAGGCGCGACCGCGGCGCGAGTCACCATGGTGAGTTGGCCGCGCGGCGTCCCGGGACGCCTGAGCCTGGGATGGGGCAGGAAGCGCCGGCGCGGGGCACCCACCTTGGGCGCGCAGCCGAGGCCAGGGGTGGAGAAGGTGGACGCGGGAGTCGGCACGTCGCGAGCTCTGATTGCCCGCCGCTTTCCGTAAACCCTGGCTGGGGGAGAGGGAGTGAGGGGCCAAGGAAAACTTTCTTTCAAGTCGCTCTGAGCGCCGCGAAACTTTTTGTGGCCGGGTTGCTATGGCTGCCAGCTGTCGGAAGCCAGCGTGTGGGCAGCTCTGCGCTCGGGGGCGCGGCCCTCGGAGGGGACCCCTCTCTTCCTGCCGGGACGGTGGGGCAGCGCCGGTGCCCCTGCGGTCCGGCC